CCGCCACCGGGAAGGGGCAGAGAGGGGGGGGGGGGGGGGGGGGTCATTCTTCATAGTCCACCTCAGACTGCAGACTGCTTGTCTGGTCACTGTTTTCTCACCTCTGTCTTCAGTGAGAGACCACTGTTGAAGAAGATGAGCGAGACAGCGATGTACGAGACGGTGACCTCTGGTTTCAATGGACCTGAGGGTGGAAAAAGAGAAAGAGAGGGGGAAGAGTGAGAGAGAGAGGGAGGGAGGAGACAAAGAGTCAGAGCAGAGGAACCGGACTGGAAACCAGTTCATTTGGCAACTTGATGATGTCAACAGTTTGACTTGTTTCATACAGAGTTCGGAACACATAAGGATAAACATCAGAGCTATGTTCTGATTCTAACAAAGGACTGCGTGGGAGTGGTGCTTTACACCATGTCTCTGTCATTGGTGTGGAACCCCAGGGTTCACCTCCTGGGCAAGATCCAATCCCGGTCAGGGCGGTTGGTACCTTCCAGTGGACTGACCACCCACAGGAAGGTTCAGGGGGGTTGGTACGGTGCAGTAGGATTTGGGTGGTGGTTATAGAGACTGATGCCCCTGTGACCTGGTAACAGATAAGCAGCTGAAAATGGATGGATGGATGGATGGATGGATGGACTGTGTGGGAGACGAGTGATTCATTCTCTCACACCAAACTCATGGAGGAAATGCTCATCATTTTTACATCACAGCACCTGGGCGTTTCTATCCCATGGTTGTCTCAAACACTACATTCCCATGAATCGTTGTGTCAATTAGGCAAAAGAAATGTTTGAAAAATATGTATTTAGACGTCGTGGCACAAACTGAGCACGGGGGGCAGCAGTGGACCAGCAGCTCTAGTGTCTCTGTGGGCTCATAATCTCTCATGTTCTCTGTGGACCGTGTGTCTTCAGGACAGTAGCAGACACAGACGACCTTATCTCATCCCCACGGTGGAGTGGTGATACTGTACGTGCACATTATCACCGCTTAATGAGGTTTCACTGATATGAACGCGCGTGCACGGGGGCTTGAATAAACAGAGATAATGCAATGCCCGGTTAATGTGACGTGTCACTGAAGTACCAGGTATGCGAGTACACGCACACACGCAAACCCGAACACACACTCTCTTAATTCAACTAAAGTCTGTACCTAATGGAACTTTTGGTTCTCCTAAAATACTCGCATTTCTTTCCTTCACGTTCGTGGCGCAATGAGCCAAAGAGTGACCAAAAGTTTAAACGTTGTCATTTTATCACAAAAAGACAAACAAAAATCTTCTGGTAAAAGTTTGTAAAGCCAGTTAAAAGTACTCCTCTTGCGTACTCATCAAAGTTTGACGGATTTTACCGGGACTTTTCTGACAGAGACAAGAAGGAAAGTCTACGACACCCGGGTCCGCATCATTTATCTCTTTAAACGGAGTCTGTCGTCTGGTCAAACTGCTGTCACACTCCGAGTCACTCACCTCCCTTCACGCCGACGTCCGGCTGCAGCTTAGCGGATAAGATGACCAACACTATCCCGATGATGAACCATTCCTTCCGAAGCCTCACCAGGAGGCCCATGGTTAAGCCCCGAGGCTTCAGCGGTTGTCCCTCCTACCGTCCCCGTCTTTTCGGTCAGACCTCGGAGCCACCGCTGCTCCGCTCGGATGGACCTCAGGAGGATATTTAGTTTTCACAAACACAGGAGGCAGTCAGCACAGGCACTTCCGGACACGTGGTACTGAGACGATGCCGTAAAAATAGAGGCGCAACAAGATTCTAGCCTAAACTACCGTAATACTACAAAAGAAACAGTGAAGTCAAGTGAAACGTTGGTCGATTAACGATTAAAAAAGAATCTATAAATAAAACCGCAAAAAACGAACGTGTAAGTAAATATTTATATACTTGAATATACGATTGAAATTTTAAAGGGTAACATTCAGCTGCCACTAGTTTTTGGCACTAGAGATACATTGAATTATTTAGAGATTTTTTACTGTATCACTATCAGAAAATAGAGTAAAATGTTTGAAGCTGTGTGAACGTTTTCTTTTTTTTCCATTCTTGGTCTCAGAGGTTTTTTTGCGTTTCCATTGCTGTGATGAAAGAACTTTTATTTTCTTTCTTCCTTTTTTTTAATTAAGTTTGAAGTCGTGGCAGAAAATTAGTCGCAGCCACTGCTGTACTTCAAAAGTGTCATTAGCTCACAAAGTGTGTTTTTCTTTTTAAAGTACTTTTACTGTTTTATCAAAACAGGTTTTTTAAAAAAGTACTTTTACTGTTTTATCAAAACAGTAAAAATAACCAGGAAACAGAAAAAATAAATGTCATTTTTATCAGGTCTTTGATTTTTCTAGTGATTACAAGCAGACACAATAACAATACTAATGTCACAATCTTTTTGCCAGTAATTAGCATTAGCTGATATGAGCAGATAATACTTTCTGATGTATCTTATTTTGATACCTTAGCTAACTCTAGCTATAGAAAATTTGAGAATATTTCATATCCAGTTGACTAACAGAGCTCTTTAACCTTGACCATGACCTGGTTGACTGAGAATCTTTATAGACATCTAACAGTAGCTAATTATTTTTATAACATTTAAACATGTTGAGAGAGGCGTATTAGTATAACACAAGAATGGGAGCAGTATCAGTAAAATGCTGCGTTAACGACTGTGTTATAAACAACGTTACTTTGCTACACTGTACTTCCAGTGTGTTAGTCACGTCAACAGACAACATACTGTTGGGAAAAAGCTTCACTGCACGACACATGCATTTGTCATTTTCAAATCTTCTGATCTTAACACACATGAATTTAAATCTGTATTTGTAACTCCTCTGACGCAAAGTCTTTTGGTTCCACAACATCTTGTTGCATATCCTTCTACTAACACAAAAAGGCCACCATCAAACTTAGGATGATGTTGACTGTCCAGTTCTAAATGACCTGGTAAAGAGCCGTACGTGACCGATCCAATCGTCGGTCTGCTTGGCTAAAGTCACGTACGGACTTCAGTTGTTTATGTGTTAGTTGTATGTGTGCGCAAACAACATGGCTCTGGAGCCAAATTTAGCTCTGACACTGAATTGATCTCAACTTTGTGCTGAAGAGATGTGAGGTCGGATTGAAAGAAGGTCGGAGGTCAACCTGATGATACACACCATGTTTAAACACACAGTTCCTCAGAGCACTCAGAAGTGTTTACAAATATATCGCTGAACATAGAAAAAATCTCCATGTAAATTCTTGTGAAATGTCTTTGAAAACTAAAACTAACTTGGGCTTTTATCCAACTCTGACAATAAAACTGATGTCTCTGAGACGAGGAGCCGTGTTATGGGAACGTAACACATGTAAAGTAAGCAATAAAAACAAACTGGAGGAAATTGTTTCACAGATGAAGGGTTAAGACTTTATTGAAACTACTGTTTTTCAAACACTGTGTTTAGTGGAATTTGTCGCTGCCTCGCAGTAGTAAAAGTTTACTGTCCTGAATTTCCACATTGTGGTTTCATCAACACACTTTTAAAGGGTGTCGTGTGTGTGTTTGTAATCAGGTGCAGAGACACTTAAACCTTCAGAGGGAGCATGTACACTGACATACGATAGAAAATCAGATCTCCACAGAGGGAGCGTGTACACTGACATACGATAGAAAATCAGTTGTTTTAGCTCACGGACACATAGGCTCTGATGGTCCACTGCTGCCTCCTGTGGTCAGTCTGTATCACTGATGTAAATCAGGACAAACTATTTCAAGGACCAAATCTGCAAAATATCCAATTTGGACTCACCAACACAGGCAGCGGTCGACGAAACCACAACTTAACCCTTTTGGGTGCTGTGATGTTAATTGGCTTATTTTCTCAATGAACTTCGGTGTGTTGAACTTAACAGTTTACAAAGCATCACTTTAAAGTTTCCCTCTCCCTACAGCAGCTTTAATGTGACAATAAAAGTTCACTCACTTCATGTTTGACTGTTTATGGGTTGTTCCACTGTAAAAGACAGAAGGAGGAGGAGCTGGAGGAGCAGGAGGGGCAGGAGTGGAGGGTCTCTATAACATACTCAGACTCCCAATCTAGAGACAGAAGGAAAGAGACAGAGGAGGAGATGAGCATTAACAACCATCAGAGAGAGAGAGATAAACCTGAGCAGGATCTTCAGTCTTCTTCTCCCTGTTCTTCTCTGGAGCAGGAGGTCTGATCTAAGAACCAGGCGTAGACTCAAGAATCTCAGCAGGTGAGATTGTTTTTAAACTCTTTATTTCAAAATAAATCAGGGATTATTTTTACAGTAAAACAAAAATATTTCATGTGGACTTTTTTCAGACCTTCGGACTTGCAACTGCTCAGTCCTCAACTCTGAAACTTCTAGGACCTTCTCAGGGGTTTTTCCCCCATCACTGATCCTGCAGTTCCCTATCGATGTTGAAGATTTAGAAAATTTCTCTGTGGATAGAGATAAAAGGGTTTTGTTGCAGCTAAAAACATATATTTTTGTTTTAGACCAAAAAGCTTTTGAGAATATTACCTCAGACCTGCTCTGGAATCAGGTACTGTTATTTTCAGACTGAAATCCTTAGGACAGTTCAGTAGTCCACTGCTTCGACTTTACTAAAGTAATAGTAAAGAAAGATAGTAAATAGTAAATACTAAAAAAAAAAAAAAAAAAGGATACAAGGTCAGGATCAGGTTCAGTGACGTCACAAACATTACTTCTCAACCAAATTTCTGAACAAGATCCTGAGTTTGTGCGGTCCAGGACCAGGATGCTCACCATGGTACTGCTGCCTATCTGGTGTTTGCTGTTCCCTTCTCCGTCTAGTGGCACCAGTAACTTTTCACAAGTATCTACGTCAGACCTGTTGATGTCAGACCTGCCAGACTTCCACAGCACAGATTCACCTGGATTTGAGCCTCTCCTGCAGACCTCACACCTTGAGAAACCAAACCTGGTCCAAGAGACAGATTCCCTACTGGGAAAAACAGAGCATGCAGTCAAGTTGAAACACCTAAAACCTGAAAAACATCCTCATTTGTCGAACTCCAACTCATCCGCCTCTGTTCGTACTTCGCTCCCTACCTGCACTCAGGAGATATCAATAAAAACAGCCTTCAAGTATATAAACACTGTGATGAGCTGTGTGATATTTGCGGTGGGAATGATTGGGAATGCCACACTGCTCCGGATCATCTACCAAAACAAAAATATGAGGAACGGACCCAACGCTCTCATTGCCAGTCTGGCATTAGGAGATCTGATCTACATCGCCATCGACATTCCCATCACCATCTACAAGGTAGCGTGTGAAGCTCCAAAGTTAAGCAAAAAGTACTTCATATTAGCCAAAGGGTAACTAACAACTGTCCAGTATGAGCTAAATGTAAGCAAACTCTAGATACTGTAGGGTCCTGCCAAACACTTCAAATGGTTGAATAGAGTTGACAGTTAACGAAAACTACTACATCAAAATTTACATAATAAAAAAGTATAAAAGTGCTTAAGAATATACCAAAAAAAGTAAAGATTTGACAAAAGCATATTCTAAACATAAGGGAAAAACTTTGAACAATAGCTAAAAGTTACTGTATAAGTTTGGCTAGCTGAAAGAAAATCACAACTTAAAGAATACAATTTATTATTTTTAATATTTTAATTATTGTTGAGATTGTCATGCAAATGCAGATGTTTGCTGCGTGTTAACTTATAAGACTAAACATGACAAGGAGAGATTTGTCATTTATCAGATAAGTTTATATAAAAATATCTTTAACTAACAGGAAAACAAGTGTTTATATGAAGCTAAGAGGCAACACCTCCTGTGCTAACTATACAGTAACTTTGAGAGTAATTAAGATGAGAACCTGGTAACAGCTAGTCACAGAGATAAAAACATACACTTACTGATGCTTTATCTATGTGTGTGTGTCTGTGTGTGTGTGTGTGTCTGTGTGTGTATAGCTGCTGGCCATGCGCTGGCCGTTTTCCGACAGTGTCCTCGGCCTCTTCCTGTGTAAACTCTTCCCATTCCTTCAGAAAGCTTCAGTGGGAATCACTGTCCTCAACCTGTGTGCCCTCAGTGTGGACAGGTACTGACTGACTCTTAGCTGTTTTTCAGTTTCTTGCTAATATTTACTTATTTGACGTATTTGCTCTTTTATTGCTAACATTAAATATATATTTAGCAAAATCACGTTTTCTAAAACTCTTTATGCTACGTTCTTGGTCCTTTTGATCATGTTTGATTAATTCAGGCCAACTTTTCTGATTTTTTAGCTATCTTAGCATGTTCTGTTTTGCTAAAATCTCTCAAATAAGCTAAGAACTAACCATTTTGCCTAATATATTTCTGGACAAACATCCATTATCAATTTAGCATACTTATTATGTAACCCTTTTTTAATGTTGTCTTAAGGTACCGTGCGGTGGCGTCCTGGTCCCGGGTTCAGGGAACCGGTGTTCCAGTGGTAACAGCGGGGGAGATCCTGATGATCTGGTTGGTGTCTGTTGTCCTGGCCATCCCTGAGGCCGTTGGTTTCAACATGGTGGAATTCCAGTACAAGAATGCCACCTTGAGGACATGCATGCTGCAGCCCACAACATCCTTCATGGTGGTCAGTTTGTTGAATGCAGAAAACACAGAAAAATAACATTAAGTCTTTGTTAAATTCTGCAGCTTTTTCATAAATCTCGGGCAACCCCAGAGACGTTTTTGCCAATTTTGAGCCGTGGTTATTTTGTAATGAATCACCACTTTGTTAGTGTTGCTGTTTGTTTTGATCTTTCCTCTATGTATTTAAACGTATCTGTGGTTGAGCTAACTTTGTGGCGGTGTGGTTGCAGTTCTACCGGGAAGTGAAGGACTGGTGGTTGTTTGGCTTTTACTTCTGTGTTCCTTTGACCTGCTCTGTGGTCTTCTATGGCCTGATGACCTGTGAGTTGCTGCGACACCAGAGGGGCAGTCTGAGAATGTCGCTGAGTGAACACCTGAAACAGGTTGGAGCTCTGGTCTTAAAACTCCAGAACATTTCTAGAGTTCCTCTAGAAACACCAGCTGAAAGTCAAATGTTTGTGTGTTCAGCGCAGAGAAGTGGCCAAAACTGTTTTCTGCCTGGTTCTCATCTTCGCTCTGTGCTGGTGTCCTCTGCATCTAAGTCGACTGCTGAAGAGAACTTTCTACAATTCCCATGATGCACGGCGCTGTGACCTGTTAAAGTAAGTGAAGGAAAGTGCGCTCGTTGAAAAGAGCAGGCTAATCTAGCTAGCTGAGTTATTGATGGTTCATTTTTACCTACAAATTTCACAAAGTTTGTCCTTTATGGATTACCACAGTTTCCTGCTGGTGTTGGATTACTTCAGCATCAACATGGCCACCATCAACTCCTGCATCAATCCCATCATCCTCTACTTCGTCTCCAAGAGGTTCAAGAACTGCTTTAAGGTAAAACCGGAGGTCAGCACTGAAGCAGCGTGGTTTGGTCTGTGTTGATGATGATGATGATGATGATGATGATAAAAAATAATGGTTATGATGCTGATGAAGATGATGATGAATATGATAAGACATGATGAGATAATGAGAAAGATAAAACTAATGATCATGATCATGCTGATGATGAAGAAGGTAGAGACGAAAATGAGAAAGATGATGTTGAGGTTGAAGATGATGATGACGATGAAGGACCTTCATCAGATCACATTTCCCAGGGTGGTTGTGACATTACTGCGTGATTAGAGGTTCAGAGGTCGTGGGACAGAGATAAGAAGCAGTCAACAGCAGTGATGAGAGGAGACAGACAAATGGTGAAGGAAGTGAGCCGTGACATGGTTGAAAGGGACATTCCACAGACTTCACTCCTCATCCTCGGCTGAGAAGTTTGAAGGAAACCTCCTGACATGATGAAGATGATTGTAACCCATTTGAATGAGGCTTAAGTCCACATGATCGAGATGAAGCTTGAGGAAAGTGCTTTTGCTAACGTGAAGACTTTTATTTTGTGTGTCTTGAGTGTGAATATACAGTAACTGTGACTGTGATTTTTTTAATGTGTGTTTTAAGATGATAACTGCTAAAGTAGCCCAGAAATGATGACTCAGTAGGGGACTTAGTCAAAAAGGTAGCCATAAGAAACAAATAAAACTAAGTCAGTGAGATTTAAATGACTTAGGCCTAAAGTAGTGGGAAGTTTGACAAAAATAGTTGGATATTGAGTTCATATTAGCTGTAAATGTGACTCCAGAAATAATTATCTACATATATAACAGTTAGGATCCCTCTTTAATCAGACTCACCCACTGACTCTCACCCTCACCCCCCCTCCTCCCTCTCTCTCTCACTACAGTCATGTCTGTGTTGTTGGTGTTACTCTGGCTCTCTCTCCAACAGCCTGACGCCGCTGCACCACGGGACAAGTCAGCACTACAAACACACTGAGCACTGAGAGAAAAAGAGACGGGGTTGGGGGAGAGAGAGAGAGAGAGAGAGAAAGAGAGAGGGAGAAACAGCCCATACAGAATAAACGCCTGCCACCAGGAATATAGAAAAAAACATGAAACAGTTTATAAATGTTTTTTTTTTATCAGCCTCACCACAGTGCAGAGAGAAAATCAATTATTTTAGCTCACACAAACTCAGTAAGTTCTGGTTCACTACTGCCTCCTGTGGTCACTGAGATAAATCTAAACAAAGGATTTCACTTTTGAGCTGAGTGGACCAAGAACTACTGTGTCTCTGTGAACTATAAGTCACTGATTTTCTGTATGGACTTCAGTGCAAATGAGCAGTTACACAGTGAATTTTTTTTTATCTTTTAGTGCAAAGGCCATGGAAAAAAACATATAAAAAAAAAAGTGACTGAAATCATTTGTACTTTAGTAGACTAGGCCTCAGAGTTAGGGTCTACATGTTATCGTAATGTATCTCTTGTTCCCCATGTATTTATTGCACCTTGTCAACTACAGTATATATTTTATTCATTATATTATACAGTATACATTTTTGTTTATGATGCAAACTAAAAATAATAAAAACGTGTCGTTCAAAATTTTTATTACATATTTTCGTGTAAACATGTTTTCTGCATCCGTACCCGGGAATTTAAACGTAACAACGGGCACTACCGCCCTCCGCAGGCAAAGTGTTGTCATTACACCTCCATAAATGGAGCGTTTCATTGTAGTAGATTCTCCACTGGGATCTGAAGAACCTGACTGTGAGGCTGGATTCATGCACAACCACTGTGACCTGAATGCAAATCAAATGTTTGTTTTTTGTTTTCCTCGAAAATCCGTAAGAGACGCAGCAATAATATAATAATAAAGTAATAATGTATAATCTAATAATGTAATATTTGCCTATTTTTTGCCTAACATTTATCAACTGTAGTCTTTGTTTTTGATCTTGCTAACCCATGTTTGCCCTACACCCTCCCCTCTCCTCAGGCTTATCTATAACTCTGTCTGAGCTCCATTTGAAATGAAGTTATGGGAGGTGTTTGAGATGTTTCTGGGCTCAATTTATAGAGGCATAGCTTCAACTTTCTTTTTCTCTTTGACTACGTACATCAGGTACCCAACTGCATTATGTTTTTACCCAACTAGTACTACAATGCTATGAAGCTAAAGTGTAACTTTATTTTCTAACCATTACTTTTACATACTGATTCTTTGGTATACTTTAACACACCTTATTGGCTAATATATATAGGCTATATATATATACAGTATATATACAGTATATATACATATGTATATATACTGTATATATACTGTATATATACTGTATATATATATATAGCCTATATATATTAGCCAATAAGGTGTGTTAAAGTATATATATATATAGGCTATATATATATATATAGGCTATATATATATATATAGCCTATATATATTAGCCAATAAGGTGTGTTAAAGTATACCAAAGACTCAGTATGACATATATACTGTATGTAATATGTCAGACGTATTTAAAGACTAAATGCATATGTATCTGAGCCCGCCTACCACAGCTGAACTAATCGAACGTGGTGGCTGATGTCAGAGTGATTCTGAGGAGTTTCTCATGAGAAGGTGGAGTGGATTTAGATTCTCAGTGACAGACAAAAGAGAGAGGGTGAGAGATGGGGGTGTCCTGTCTGACAACCGGGAGGGAGGGGTGTGTGCTGTCTGTGTTTCTGCTGCAGCGGCCATGCTGCTGCTCCCCCTACTGATGCTGCTGCTGCTGCCGCTGCCGCTCCTCCCCCTGCCGTCCCGCCCCTCTCCCTCCTGGCTTATC